CCTTTCAGATGGCTCTCTGTATGTTTTTCTTAGGGTTCACCTTGTTACTTGGCTCCTCTAGGATGAACCATAGGCTCTTTATCCATTGCTTTACACCTAGTATCCATTTATGAGTAAGTACATACCATATTCATCTTTCTGGGTCTGGGTTACCTCACTCAGGATGGTTTTTGTTTTTTTTTTTTAGTTCCATTCATTTACAGGCAAATTTCAAGATGTCATTGTTTTCTTATGGCTGAATAGTACTCCATTATGTAAATGGACCACATTTCTTTATCCATTCTTCAGTTGAGGAGCATCTAGGTTGTTCCAGATTCTGGCTATTATAAATAATGCTGCTATGAACATAGCTGAACAAATGTCCTTGTAATATGATTGAGCATCTTTTGGGTACATGCCCAAGAGTGGTATTGCTGGGTCCTGAAGTAGGTTGATCCCCAATTTTCTGAAAATCCTCTATACTGATTTCCAGAGTGGTTGTACAAGTTTGCATTCCCACCAGCAATGAAGGAGTGTTCCCCTTATTCCGCATCCTCTCCAGCAGAAGCTATCATTGGTGCTTTTGATCTTAGCCATTCTGACTGGTGTAAGATGGTATCTCAGAGTCATTTTGATTTGCATTTCTCTGATGGCTAAGGATGTTGAACTTTTGTTTAATTGTCTTTCAGTCATTTGAGATTCTTCTGTTGAGAATTCTCTGTTTAGTTCTGCACCCCATTTTTTAATTGGATTATTTGGTATTTTGTTGTCTAGTTTCTTGAATTCTTTACATATTTTGGAAAGCAGTACACTGTCTGATGTTGGGCTGGTGAAGATCTTTTCCCATTCAGTAGGCTGCCTTTTTGTCTTATTGACTGTGTCCTTTGCTTTATAGAAGCTTCTCAGTTTTAGGAGGTCCCATTTATTAATTGTTTCTCTCAGTGTCTGTGCTATATTTGGGAAGTGGCCTCCTGTGACCTTGCATTGAAGGCTACTTCCCACTTTCTACTCTATCAGGTTCAGTGTGGTCGGATTTATATTGAGATCCTTAATCCGTTTGGCCTTGAGTTTTGTGTATGGTGATAGATATGGATCTATCTGCATTTTTGTACATGTTGACATCCAGTTATTCCAGCACTTTTTGTTGAAGATGCTTTCTTTTTTCCATTGTATAATTTTAGCTTCTTTGTCAAAATTCAGGTGTTCATAGGTGTGTGAATTAATATCCGGGTCTTTGATTCGATTCCATTAATCAACTTTTCTGTTTTTATGCCAATACCAAGCTGTTTTCATTATTGTAGCTCTATAATAGAACTTGATGCCAGGGATTGTGATGCCTCTGGAAGTTCCTTTATTGTACAGGATTGTTTTGACTATCCTAAGTTTTTTGTTTTTCTATATGAAGTTGAGTATTGATCTTTCAGGTTCTGTGAAAAATTGTGTTGGGATTTTGATGGAGATTGCATTGAATCTATAGATTGCTTTTAGTAGGATTTCCATTTTTATTATGTTGAACCTATCTATCCAAGAGCATGGGAGATCTTTCCATTTTCTGGTATCTTCTTCAATTTCTTTCATCAAAGACTCAAAGTTCTTGTAGATCAGGTATTTCACTTCTTTGGATAGTGTTACCCCAAGATATTTTATGGTATTTGTGGCTATTAAGAAGGATGATGTTTCTCTGATTTCTTTCTCAGCTTCTTTATGATTTGTGTTAAAAAGGCTACTGGCTTTTTTGAGTTGATCTTGTATCCTGCCACATTGATGAAGGTATTTATCAACTGTTGGAGTTCCCTAGTATAGTCTTTTGGGTCATTTACTATCATATCATCTGCAAATAGTGAAAGTTTAACTTCTTCCTTTTGAATTTGGATCCCTTGAGATCTCCTTTTGCCATGTTATTGATCTCGCCAGAACTTCAAGAACTATATTGAATAGATATGGTGAGAGTGGACAGCCTTGTCTTATTCCTGATTTTAATGGAATTACTTTGAGTTTCTCTCCATTTAATTTGATGTTGGCTGTCAGCCTGCTGTTTATTGCTTTCATTATGTTTAGATATGTTCCTTGTACCCCTGATCTCTCCAAGACCTTTATCATGAAGAGGCATTGGATTTTGTCAAGTGCTTTTTTAGCATCTAATGATATGATCATATGTTTTTTTTTCTTTTAGTTTATTTATTTGGTGAATTACACTGACAGATCTCCGTATGTTGAACCATCCCTGCATCTTTGGGATAGAGCCAACTTGATCATGGTGGATGATTTTTTATGTGTTCTTGGATTCAATTTGCCAGTATTTTATTGAGTATTTTTGCATTTATGTTCATGAGTAAGATTGGTCTGTAATTCTCTTTCTTAGTTGCATCTTTGTGTGGTTTCAGTACCAGGGTAACTGTAGCCTCATAAATAGAGTTTGGCAATGTTCCTTCTGTTTCTATTATGTGGAATATTTTGAGGAATATAGGTGTTAGCTCTTCTTTGAAGTTTTGGTAGAAATTTGCACTGAAACCATCTGGCTCTGGGAATTTTGGTTGAGAGGCTTTTGATGACTGCTTCTATTTCCTTGCAAATTATAGGTCTACTTAAATTATTCTTCTGGTTTTGATTTAATTTTGGTATGTGGTAGCTATCCAGAAAATTGTCTATTTCTTTTATATTTTCCAATTTTGTGGAGTACAGGTTTTTGTAGTATGACCTAATGATTCTCTGGATTTCCTCAGTGTCTGTTGTTACATCCCCCTTTTCATTTCTGATTTTGTTATTTTGGATGTTCACTTCCCTTTAGTACAAGAGAGCCTACAAGTTTCCTGTCCTTAACTGCATTAACTATGTTCTTTAGGCCAATTTTCATTGACAAGAGAGGAGACTATTTGAGAATAATAGGGATGGGACAGGAGATGGTGAGGAAAGGGGGCTGAGGGCCTCAATTGTCCAGGGTACACAGAAATGCTGTTTTAGCACTAGGAGTCAGAGTTATGAGCCACTTACTGGTTCACTACAAAGATAATAAGGACTCTGAGACAGGCGCTGCTAAATCCTGGACTTGATTATCAGCTTCCTTTCAGAGACCAGCCAGTCAGCCAAGAAGTGCAACACAAGATAATGAGAGAAGATTGCAAAACTCTCTGTCTTTTACTCCCAGGAAACTAAGCCAGCCCAGTTCTCTGGAACTGATGCATCTGAATGAAAATGGTTCTTCAGGCCCCGAGAAAGAGAGACATACTATCTCTACAGTGTCTCCATGTAAAAAGGCAAAATGGGAGCAATCATCCTGAACCCTGAAGCTGAAGATTTCTGTACTGATGTGGTACCCAAAACATGAGGAAGTTGCTTTAACCTTACATTTCTTGTCCACCAAATTATCATTTTTCTGTTTTTAGGGGCATATGACAAAACTTTCTGGTGTATTTTTATAGACCGAACAAGGCTCCTCAATATTTCTGGGTCTTGGACTCAACCGTTTTGAACTCCATATAGTTGTTGGGTGGTGTCAGAAACCAATAGGTTTAAATGGGATGAAGGAAGAACTCTGTATCTTGATACCTAGGATATTCAGTGTGGATGTGGTACCATGTGCTCAATGTCAACTCTAGAAAGAAAATAATTTCTGCTAGTAAAACAATATATTTAAAACACAGATGGGAATGCTTCTCTAATTTTCTTTAACTGTCAAGAAATTAAAGGTGATGTTTTCTGTTTGTTTTTAATAGCGTTCTATTGCATCTAACTGTATTGATCGATACTTTGAATTTCTCTCTGACTTTTATTTTAGCTTTTGTTTGATTGATTCCATGATGATAGTTTGGAGCTTTGAGAATCTCTTATTCTGAGTCTCCTATATGACCTTTAAACACAGAAGAGTAAAGCCAAACACTAAAGTAGGACTTAGAAAGTTAACTTTTACTGATACAACATGGCCTGGTACCGAAATGCTAGAACGACATCAAGAGAATCCCTTTTTTTCTCCAACATACAGGAATTACAAAGAAACTCTCCCAGTGCCTGTCCGGAGATCAGTGGCAGCATCCCAGCTGTCTAGGTTATACTACAAGACACTGCTCACTACTTTTACAGAAAGGAAATGGAGCAACAGAACTTTATGAATGCAAGCCTAGTAAGAAGACTTAGGGTACTTCCTAGAAAGCTTTGAAATGAATTTCTTGAAATTGTGATATGCAAAAAAAAAAAAAATGCCTTCCCCCACCAAAGAAAGGTAACCGTGGTGACTGTGGGCTTTAATTTAACCCCACCCAGGAAACCTGTTAGGAAGACAAAGACCAAGCGCTAGTTAGAAGAGAAGATCTTTTTGCACTGAGGTGAAACTGCACACTCTCTGCTTCCTGGAGCAAAGCCTGTGTACTATGAACAAACGTGAGGCTCACAAGAGAGTTACAACCAATGAGATTGAGGGTAATGCTGTAATATGTATCTGCATCCTTTCAGGTCAAGGAGTGTGCCTGTTCCTACTTGAAGGGAATCTTCAAACTGATGACTTACCAGTCATGTTTCTGCTTCTCCTAACTAATAAGCAAAAATTCCTCCCCTCAGTGAAACTGTCTCATAGGGACAGAACAAAAAGGCAAACATTTCCTCTCCAAGATCTACAGATACACCTCATTTAAGGGATTTGCTTTGTTAGAATAGTTTGTGGGCTTGCATCACTTTTGTACTAACTGCTATCGTAGAACCAGATGCTCATCTGCGGTCTTGTAACACTAGCTACAGCCTGGCTGAGGGAAAGTGGAAGGCAAAGGGCTATTAGTGTGAGCTGAGTCTCAAATGGGTGATCCTTGGCAGGGTGGAGTAGTTGAGAAAGGTAGAAGTCAGAAAGTGGAACTGCCTGACTCATCAGGAATAGAGGCAGTCGAGGCCAACACTAACTGCACCCAACTCTCACTCTTGCAAGTCCTGACACTTCTTGCCAAGATGTGTCTGTATGAGCAAGGATTTCTCTGATGTAATTTTGTGCTCTTTAAATCACTAACTTGCCCAATAACCAAAGGACAAATCAATTGCAGTACAGTTAAAAATACACACTTTATTATAGCCTTAAAATACAGAAAAGGAACTGAGTATACATTGGAAGCAAAGGCTGAAATGATAACATTGGGAGAAATTCAGATGCTGTGTGTTGGTAGCTATCCGTCTGTCTGAAGTATGGAAACCTCTTCTGGGTTCTAAAAGAATCACAATGCTTTTGGACCTTTGCTGCGAGTGTGACAATATCATTGTGTCATTTTGTCTGCCTTGATTGCCCTAAGAATGAGGCTGGGGCAGAATGACATCATTAAGTTTCAAAGAAATAGCTCCATTGATAACACGCCTGCTATGGAAGCATAAGGACTGGAGTTCAGATCCCCAAACCACGTGTACTAGTCAGACATGGTGGTACACATCTGTGACCGAAGACCTGTGGGTGGTGAGGTAAAGCAGCAATAGGCAGATCCCTAGAGCCAAATGGTGGTCCAGCCAACCCAAATAAATGAGCTCCAGGTTCAGTGGGAGACCTTGTCTCAAAGACTAAGGTGGAGAGCAGCTAAGGAAGACACAAATACATACTCATATGAACAGGCTCTCCCACAACACACACACACACACACACCTACACAATCACATACAACACAATATACACAAACACACACACAACACAGATGCACACCTTTTTACAAAGAATGGTGTCCTAGTAAACCAGTTTTCCAAAAGAAATGCTTCTGTTTGTAGTGTTTGTCAACCTCCATGGCATAAAAGTTCCCAAACTGCACAATTCAAAGGAATTAAACAATCAGTTTTTATGAAGTAGTGGCAGCCCATGCCAGCATAGGGCTGCTTGCAACACATCAAATATCAACACTAACAGGTTTCTATAAATACATATAACATAATTTTAGTTTCCTGAGACAATATGCAGACACAAGGGTCTTTGTACTCTATAGCAATTCAGCTCAGCAAGTATTCATAAAAAAATAAGAAATAGCTTAGCCTACAATAAGTATTCTTGTTACATACAATAAAGATATTTTTAAATTAGCCCTATATAAAACTTAATTATAATACAGTTTTTCACAAATACCCATAAATATTATAAATTGGTTTAAAATACTTTTCAACAAGAACTCACAAGCTGGTTAAATTTAGCAGAATCCAAAATTTGAACATGAGTGTTCTTCATTACTTTGAGACCTCAGCATGCTCTTCCAACAGGGTCATCCTGGCTTTTCTTGCTCCAGGCAAGAAGAGGAAAGTCTGCTGGTAAAGGAAGTCTCTCGTTGCTTCATTCTGGCCACCTTGGGGTAAATGCGATGCATCCATTTGAAAGCTGAATTTATTCCATTTTAGAGATGTATAATTTATTCCATTTTAGAGATGGTAGAAAATACCAGTTTCATATCGGGGACCATGTGAATGGCAAGACCCCACTCCATTCATTGTGAGTTCTGAGTTGAGGTGAGAGTCTTATGATCCATCTGTCCATGTTATCATTGTTCAATTTTTTTCTAAAAATATCTACTCCATTAACATCATAGAGTTGTGTAGTATAGGAAAACCAATGTATTTGTCAATTAGGGAATACCAACTAAAAATTTGGAATCATTACATAATGCACTAGAGAAACACCAATTTCTTGGGCTAAATCTAATGACTGCTAGTACAAACTCGTTTTCCTATACACACATACACACAAAAGCAATAAAGGCTTGCACGGAAGTTCAGGATGAACCTGCATCCTGTGGATGACAAAATCAAGAAAAATTCCCCAGATCAATTTCATTCCATGCCATCGCCACTTCTGTCCCAATAGCTTTCAAAGTGTTCTCTGTCCTCTAAAAATATCACGTGTAAAAGGAGGTGCTCTTGGCATATCGTGGCCACCCCACCAATCTGACAGCTTTTCATTAGGAGGCTCTCAGAAGGTGAGAGTATGAAGGGATTAAGGTAAACAGCTCAAGGAAATTACCATGAGAAAAAGGCCAGGCTGCTGCAAAACACCCTTTGTGCAAACCAAGTAAGATTCTCATGGAAATAGGACCTCATTTTGCACCCAGAGATTCAAGAGTTAGAGAGATATGCTTTGGAATATTCATTTTATCATGGATTATGAAACTCTATTTCCAGATCTAACATCCGGGATTTGGCCCACTCACTGAATCTTCCTCAGACAGATGTGAGGGTTAAAGTCTTATGATGCCAAGAGATTATGTTTGTGTTGTTGATTTGTAAGGTGCCGCAAACTGTGTGCATTCAAACAGGCAACCCCCTCCAATCCACTGAACAGCATCTCTGGGTACACTGAGGAAGGTGATGAAACCAAACTAAATCTCTAGGAGCTGAATGAGAGATCTGGCATTAAAACAACCCCCCAGTATGTAGCACCTTTCTGAACATGGTCATCAGAGTTGAACCTCAAGTATATGCTATCTCCGGCATGCAGGTCATAAATCCCTCCTATAGTTAGAATTTGAAAGTCATTTGTTGCAGACTGTAAGACATTTCCATCTTTAATTATCTCTACTATAAATTCAGCAGAGTTTTTTATGTCGTTCTTAGCAAAAGGAGTCACTTGTCCATAGATTAAATACTCGCCATCCTGAAGTATCCCCAGCTTCCCGTCAGATGTCATGTTGACACAAAGAGGTTCAGGAGATGTCATTTGCCACTTTGAAGATGATAGTTCTATAAGAAATTGAAAATGAAGGGGAAAAGAAATCATTATTACTTCATCCTCTATCTGGTCTCAGTATGTTCTTTACTACCTACATACTAATTTACCTGGTCTATGCTAGTTTTTTCAGACCATATTTTAAATAGATTGTGAGAATCAACCATTTCTCTGTTTCAGAGAAGTTGCAGATCCTCATGGATCTGTACCTCTTCCCAGGTAATAGGAATGAACAAGGGAGGGAGAGGAGAGAGGAACCACACAGCAAGACTAGAATAAGGACTGCTCATAATTCATGCATCTTCATGTCTTTCTTATATGAACAGTAGTTACTCAGTTGTGGTTTACCAATGACACATTCCCTAATCAGTCTACATGCAACATTGCTCTCCTATGACTCCCTTGTTCTATACTGCTTTAATTTTCTTCATAGAAAGTATTAGGAAGAAGCTTATTATAAATTAATTTGACCATTTTCTGTCTTACATCCACTTAAATACAACTTCTTTGATAATAAGCATTCTCTATTTTTCCAATTACTATATTCCCATCACCATGAGTTTCTAGAATAATGTGAACTCTAAAAACTTTTTTATTTTGACACGGGAGTCCTGCTGTATTGCCCAATCTGGGCTCAAGTGGATGAGTTCTGGTTTTATGTTGTTGTTGTTGTTGTTTTTGTTTGTTTGATATGGGAATCCTGATATATTGCCTAATCTGGGCTCAAACTGATGAGTTCAAGTGGTCCTCCCCCCTCAGCATCCGTAAATATCTCTAAACTGGTTGACAGATCTGTTTCTGAATTTGATGCTTTGTGTCTGAAATATATTTCTTCATATCACTTTCAATTCCACATATCATTATCTAGCTCACTTCCAAATATCTACTGGTACATTGATGGCTTTGTAACTAGAAATAAATTTATCTAATTAAATATAACTACACCTAGCCTAATACTGCCACATGGGATAATGTATCCAAATTTAGTCTTTCCTTTTCCTATGTACTACACTTATTTCCCTAATCTTAGGGAATGTACAACTATGTAACTGCAATGCCCCAAGAGATTCTTTTACTGGTTCAAAGTTCTTTTCTCTAATACTCAATAACTTTAGTTATAGAGGGAAAAGCCCTAGAAGAAGTAACACTGGCTTAAATTCCCTTTCATACAGAAATAGCTAGTAGAAGACTCGGAGGTAGATGCTGGAGGAGGATGAAGGACTGATGACTAGAAAAAAAAAAACAAAGACTCGCAGCATCCCCAGTGAACTCTGTATTTCTCCTCATTGGCACGCAAGAGGGAGATCTGTCAGAACAAGTATAGCTTTTTTTTCCTATTTAATTCAATTATGGAATTTTTTTAAAAGAGCACCTTAGCATCATTTTTATCACAACAAGGAGAAATTTCTAACATTATTCTATTCCTTTCACTGGCAAAACAAAACACAAAATTGTGGACACATTCAAAGACTGCCCCAAGTTCTGAAAGCCAAGGTATTTTGTTTTCGTATCCAATCTCTTAGCCTGTGCCTTTTTATAGGTGAATTGAGACCATTAATATTAAGTGATATTAATGACCAGTGGGTGTAAGGTATTTTGAAAGACTGGAGCGAAAGATAGACAAGTGAAAAACTGAATTATAGAAATCACCTACTCTCAAGTGTAAATGTGTTTGTTTGGCCATACGGACAATCAAAAAATGTATACACTTGATGTTTTGAGTATATCCTAAGGAATATCCTGAGCATCAAGGCGATGCTAGCTATTCTGTCTGCTTGACACAGCCTAGGGACACCCAGGAAGAAAATCTAAGTGGAACCTGTCCACACTGAGTTGGTCTATAAGGGACTGTCTTAATTAAATTGAAAGATGTGAGAAAATTCAGCCCCCTATGGTTGGCACCATCCCCTAAGCAAGATGTTCGGAACCATAAGAAGGTAGAGAAAAGGAACTGAGCATAAGAAAGCGAGCGGGCAGACAAGCATACATTTCGTTTCTCCCTGCTTGACTGTGAGTGTGATGGGATGGATGCTCTAAGCTCCTGCTGCCACCATTCCCCTGCCATGGCGGACTATAGTCTGTCTGCACTTGTGAGCTAAGACAAATCCTTTTTCTCCGACACTTGCTTTTTGTTGCGGTACTTTATCGGGGCAACAGAAATGAAAGTAAAACACTCAGCAACACTGTTTTTCATACATTTTCTGAGCAGCTATCAGGTGACTGTTAAGGAAAGTGACTCAGAAGCAAAGAGGAAGTGCCTGTTCCTCTTCTGTGTACTTACTCACAGCAGTAATGTTTCCCATACACCCTATTAGAAATGAGAAATCTGTGAAATATGAGAAGGACTTTGAGGAAAGGTGGTAGGAATCTTTAACGGACTACCAAACCAAAAACTGACTACTGTATGCATATCCACATGTCACCAAATGTGGGCTTGTCAATCTAGCTCAGCTCTGGAAGCCTCGGCTCTCACTAGGCTGATGGCCTAGTATAGAATGAGTGATTATAATTTAAAAAAAAATAAAGGAAAGTGGACACAAAGTTGTACAGGTTTTTTGAAGGCACTGACAGATGCCTTCTTGCATCAGAAACTAAGAAAAATGAAAGGCGGGTTACTCACCGAACTTAACCATACAGGGCTCTTTGGCAATTGCCTGTAGAAGGAAAAGAAGAACTGGTCAGGATGATGGCACAGTTGCCACTTGCTTGGATGAATTTTTTAGCGCTTAAAGATTCTGCAGCAAACTACTATCCAAAGCAAAAAAATTAAAAAACCCACCACACATAGAGACCTGTCTCATTTCTTTGCTTCCTTTACAGATGACTGGCTCTGTCCTTTACATTTGACTTACAGTAGCTTTGACATTAGTGTTTAGAAGAGACAGGAAGAAGCAAGTGAACAAGTAAGCTATGGGGATACAAGGGAAGAGGTGTAAATAGACACACTGAAATTCAGCTGTATAAAGAGACAAAACCACATGAATAGCATGGTCGGCAATATTATTTTAGTTTTAAAAATGATATCATTGAATGATAGATTTGACAATAAGAAAAAAGATAGCAGATCTCTTTGGGGATCTTTCATTCACTTTGGGGTCATTCATTTGGTGTCTCATTCTGTTCATCTAACTTTGACCCACAAGGCAAGTATTGGAGCTGTGTTCTTTCCCTCTAGTGTACTACAAACAGCAGTCTCTATATCCCTATGGTTTCCCAACATTATCTGGTACATATGGGAAGAAGATAATGAAACCTCTGCTTATGTTTCTCTTTACTTAAAATAACAATAAATTGACTTTAGAAATACTAATGTTTAGAAAACCACATGCCATAAGCAATGACTGAGAATCAGATACAACTGTTTCAAATGTCTACCACATGCCACAGCATACATGCTGAAAGATGACATTAGTTATGACTAGTTTACAAATGCAATCACTTAAATGTTGTCAAATGCTTGAGAGTAAAATAAGGCATGACTATCAAAGTTTTTGGTACTCAAAATTCATGCGTTTCCTTGGAGCAAAGTGCTCAAAAGACTTTTTTTTTACATATGAAAAGAGATATATGTTTCTTTTGAAGAATCTATCCAGCTATTGTGCTAGGAAAAAAAAAAAACTAAAGAGGATGAAAGGCAAAAGCACTGCAAACAATTAAGCACGGACCGAAGCTCATGAAAACAGGAACGCACTGCCTCTGACCAAGGTGCTGGCAAAGAGGGAACGCGCCAGCTGGTCTGGTATAGTGATGTATGCCAGATATAACAGCACTTAGGAGGCTAAAACAGGGGGACCATGGGTTTTAGGTCAAGCTAGGCTATATTTCAAAGAAAGCAAGAAGTAGCTGGTGTTCTTGACAGGAATACTGGTGTGAGACAATAGGAAGAAACAAAGGTAATGCCAAGATTTGGGACTGCAGTCATTGGAAAAAGTAAGTTAATTGGCAAGATGGGCATGACTAAGAGAAATAAAGTAAGAGAGGCCCAATCATGAGTTTTGAGATGTGTTGATTTGTGCTTCTGAGGTATCAAATAGGTGGTTTAGATATGCAATGCTGAGACTCTGCTTTCAGCCCCGACGTTATATGTGAACATCAAGTCCACAAGTGTAACAGAGATGAGTATTCAGAGGTCAGGCAACGAGGAGCAACTCTCTAGGAAGCTCAATGAGTCTGAAAAGAATGGATGTGTGTGATGTTTGGGAGCCAAGAGAAGAAAGTCTTCTAGAGAGAAGACTGAGCAGTCGGTATCAAAGGTCACTGATAGATCAAAAAAGAAGAGGGCAGAGACTTGACTGGTGGGGTTAAAAACATGGTTTCTACAAGAATTCCTGACAGAATAGTTGTGTCACAGTTTGTATGATGTGATAAGAGCACAAGTCTCACCAGGATAAATTTAAGATGAGATGAGAACTTGGGAAATTTGCTACATGGGAGGCTAGCAAAAGTGAGTGGGCCCTGGATAAGGGTGAGAAGTCAAAGAGGCTTTTGTTGTTGTTGTTCCTTTGTTTTGGGTTCTGTCTTTGCTTGTTTGATATGAAGGAGATGACAGGTTTGCTTGTCGCCATTCGATGGGACCATTCCCATCGAATGAGGCAGGCGAGAACTTCAGCGATGCTCTGAGCAGGTGAGATATGCGAGAATGAGTTCAGAGATGGTGGCTCTGGCAGGGACGTGGATAATGCATCCATGCAGATGAAGGAAACACAGAATGTATGGACACAAATGGTTCCTGGAAGTTCAGAGAGGAGCCAAGGGTGCAAGGTAGTCTATGAAGGAGAAAGAATGGACTGGGAAGTACACACCATTTCCATGGCAACAAGGAAACCCCACTTAAAGCTGGTGGCCATGAACATATAAAGAAAGAATGTTCAAAAGGTCTTGTGTTTTTCTCAGAGACCCAGTACTGCTGGATTTAGTTATTGCTGGAGTCCTTTGATAGCCAGGTTTTGACATGGGATTGGAGTGATGAGAGAAAGAAGCAAGTGAACAAATTTGTGTAAGGAACGAGATGTAATTAAAGACTTTGGAGCTTAGCTGTGAAATGAGAAAAAGAAAAGACGTGGATGAAATGAAATATTATTTTAATTCTAAAGAGCAGCCCCATCCAATGATAGTGATAATTAAGTATCTTGGCAATTAAGAATATACAAAGATGCTTTGGTAAATTTTTATCTCTATTTCCTTGTGAGGTAATTTTCAATTGTTATAGTCAAAATCACAAATCAAGTTAAATTGGAATAAAACCTTGAGTTCCTATATTATAAAATGTAAAACTAAAATTAAGAAAATATCAAATTACTGGGGCTTTGAATGTGACTAGGAGGTAGAGATACTGAGTTTGAATCCCATAATCACAAAAAACAGTATTTCAATTATTTTGTTATATCATGTGTGAATATATTATAGAAAGCTTAACATCTTAGCTAAAACAGGTAGATTTAGACTGGAAAATCCGTGCTAAGCCTTTAGAACAGTGACTTTCCATCTTGTATATCTGTTTTGTGTTCATGGTATTGTACTCAGATATGAGATACTATTTGGCACACATCTGCTGGAAATTATAATAAAAGTATTTTATTGATAAGGAGATACAATAGACAATTATGGAAACCATAAATCTAAAAACCATAAGTAATTGGATTTCCTGAGATCAGTTTTACTCTTGCAATTATTTCATCCTATTTTGGTTTTTCTTAGACGAGATGTCCAAATTCAATTTAGAACGACTGATAGACTTACAGCAGGGACTCCAAAAACTCATTTCCTCATCCAATAACCAGGGATAATAGCAGAGTTCACTGAACTGTTGCTCTACATCACTGTGCTGACTCTTGGGAAGGGCTTCTCCAGAGATTCTATCTGAATATACTCAGTAAATATCAGTTATTTTGATCATGATACTGGTTATAATGAAGAATTAAACAAACAGCTTAAGTACCTATATTCCCAACATTATACTAATGTTGTAAGAGAGACAAATTTAATGTATAATTGCTGCCTCTCAAGATGTTTGTAATCTAACTAGAGAGACACTATTGCTTATATGATGCAATTAAACAGGCACCTAAATATAAATGTTGTGGATTGTGTCCCAGCTGTTACCATGTGTAAGAATACACAGAAAACTGAAATTCACAGACAAATGAACTGACCGAAAAACATCTAGAAAGTCAATTGCAAACTTCTTTAATATCTATTTAGAGTTACAAAACACCGCTCGGCTCATCTTTAGCTATTGCCATACGTGAAAATCGAAGTAGAAAATCATCAGTTTGGTTGAAAACTGTGGTCTTCTGACTGAGGAAGGGATAAAGTCAGACAAACCAGGCACACTTTAATTGGCCTTGCTAGTCTGTATTCATTGTGACCTTCTAAATAACAATGGTATGAATATTAATCACTTCAACCTATCCAGAGTCTACTGTGAGTCAGGCATGTCAGGCACTTCCCTGCCTCATTATTCCTTGAGGCAGCTCTAGAAGAGTTAGCGTGTTCCTTTTGCAGAGGAGGAAATGAGGACTCGGTGGTGAAGTAACCAGCCCAGGGTCACATGGCTGATAAGAGGTTGGGATCCCCAGAACCAAACTGTCTCATTCAAAACACTCAGCCTACCACTCATAGAGGCCGTTTCTATTTATAATTCTGGTGATATTATAAAGAGTTACACACAAGCCTTTTGGTTTACTTTTAGTTTTGCTTGCTTTCATTTAGAAGAGTCAGTTGGTCTTCTAACCTCACTTTGGTTTAATCCTAGATTACTTGGTTTGTCTCAAAGTGGCCAAAATAGACTTCAGACTAATCCTAACCTCCTCTGTCCGGAAACAAACCCTACTCTATTTGTTTGCAAGTACAGTTGTACAAATTCCAGTTTCCCTTCTGGAAGCCTATCCATCCTTCATTTCACTGAAGAAAGGGACTTTCCTGAATCACTGGATTCTTCAGAGGGAACTTCTCTGAACTGCTTTCACAAAGGACTTGGCCAAACTCCTTGAGCTCAGAGCATAGTCTATTAACTAATGTCTTCTATAAGAGAGAGAGAAAAAAAAAATTCTCCCAAGAAAATTTCTGCTGATCTGAAAGGAACCAAGCTAAAAAATATTACTATCTGAAGGGATTTTTTATAAATGGAGATTTGCATGAGAAAATTGGACTGGAGAAAAATATAAAAACGTTCTGAGTTCCTACCTATGCAAAGGTGGAAGTTACTATCATCTGCCATCCACTCAGATTTCTCTGCTCAACAATTTTTTTTTTGTAGCTAATAAGAAAAGTGTAATTCTCAAGCTAATACTAAAGCCCAGTGGTTTTTCCATAGTAACTAGGCTGCCTGGCATTCTGGCAGGAAAATAGACTCCAAAACCTTTTTTACTTCCCTAAGTTTGAAATATCCTCACAGGTATTTTTAGAGGGGGAACCCTTCATTGAAAGGGGTGTGTTCTCTTGAGGGGATAATCTGAATTAAAAGCTCAAAACACCATGAATTAACAATTTGCTTGTGGAAAAAGGTGTCACTCGGAACAAAAGTCTTCCTCTCCTATGCATCACTGCGGGACTCTTTGATACCTAGACTCAGTGCACTTCAGAACCACGTGACTAATAAGACTTGAGGTGGTTTACAGGAAGAAAAAGCAATTTGAAATCAATGCTATTCTCATTCTTCCTCCTTTTCAAAACTTTCCACACTTGAGAGACTGATAGTCCTTTCCCTTTGGCTCAACATTCATTGCTTTAGAAGCTCTCTTCTTGGTTCCTTCTTTGAAAGTGTAGGGCTGGGATTAGAACTCTCTCTGCCTCTCATCCACTTACACAGTTACAGAGTACAGAATAATGGGCTCCTATGTACGCTTTTCACCAGAGCATTCTAACTAACCTTGGCTCTACAGTACACTACTTCCTCCTGTGCCTTTCCTCAAAGTCTTGCCAGTGTAGAACCACACCTTTAAAACCATCACTAGTTGGTCTCCTTAGACAAATGCTCCTGGGCTTAGCTCCAACCCTTCCTTACACAGGTATATACATCACTTTATTCTGCCCTAGGTTTAGAGTCCTTTAAAGTAACGCGCTAACTCCTGAATTATATAAAGTTTTATTTCATTTCTTCTGGTCAAATGCTTTCTTTTTTCTTTTGTAGTTTTTCAAGACACCGTTTCTCTGTGTAGCCCTGGCTGTCATGGAACAGAAAGCAAACTTCTAGAAAGAACCTAAAATATATATATATTTTATACATTCCAAGTACAGATCCCATCTAGATCCACAATTTAGACTGTAATTCACTGGGAAATTCCTGATAACCATCAGGGGCTTCCCAAATAGACATGTTCTCTTCTTTCCTCCATGAAGCCTTCCCAGGTCACTCCAGTCCAAAGTCATCATCCTTGCTTTAGACTTCCTAAACTACAGGTACATGTGGTACCCTACACTTAGGTAAATTATTGACCAATGTAATTATAGCTAGCAGGGCATTAAGTAAACGGATCCAGTCTCCCAACACCATGTTGTAGACCTAAAATACTAGAATCAGAATAACGAAACAACTTTCTCACACGCGTGCATTTGGTTTTAGTGAGATTCACCTATAACTGGAATCCAGATTTTCTCTCTTCTAGCTCAGCACCATTTCTCTCTTCCACATGCTCTTGCTTCCTGTGATTTCATTCTGTCTTCCACTATCATTTTGTATCCCTACCCCATTGAGACCACTGCTTGTCTGGAATCGCATGAAGAAGAGCACCATGCTTCAGGTCTCTTCTTCGTCTACCAATATGAGACTAGTGGAGTTCCAGGGAGGGAAAAGGAGCCCCACAGACACCTTTTAAAGACTCAGTTTAAACATGTAGTCCCATGTAGCTCAAGCCCACAGTGGGCACTCTGTGTCCTCTGGTGCCTTTTGTCCAAGACATTCAGATGAGTTTCAGGGGCCATGTCCTTACAAGACTGGAATTTTTTACGCTGTACCCTCAGATCTCTTCCTTCCCACTATCTTCAGCAATGCTGAATGGCAACGATAATAATCAGACTAACAATTAAACCACGTCTATATACTATAATTAGCACCTGTAGGTTCCTTTACCACCTTACCTTGAGTGAAGTAAAGATCAGTGCACCCGTGGTATAGAAAAGCAGCAACAGCAGAGGAACCATGCATAAAAGCCATGGCTTCCTGAACCTCTGTGCCCCTCGAGGACTTGGCGGGCTCAAAGGCATTTCCTCCACGAGGCTAGAACTCATTCTGTGACGGGCTGAGAGCTCTGGAAAGCAGATATGCACAAGTGATGGATGAACGATGCGATGTCATGTTTTATAGTAATTAAGCCGTGGGTGTGGGAGGTGGAGTTTTCCTTTGGAACACTGCTGAGCACTGACAGTCATCGTGGCAGCGGGCCAAAACTACAAAAGGAATGGGGAGGCTTAGAGCCAACAGAAACACGGGAGGGGAAAAAAAAGCCACTATGAGGCAAGTTCAGAAGGAAAAAAAAAAAGTCTTTCCTAAAGCAAGAGGAAGTACTGTGTGCATGCACAGCCAGCCTCGGCTGCTGGAAGATACTCCAAAATTATTCCCAATGAAGAAAAAAAAACTTATAAGAATAAATAAAACTTAAAGCTAAGTTTTATCATACTGCAGATATAATGACTGGATGGGACAGAGAGTTAGAGAGCAGGAATGCACGGTTTGAACAATGGAGTTCCCATGAAGTCACCACATTGCACACTTTACATATGCACCGCTTTATATATACACCATTTTTATTTATCAGTTACACCTTGATAGCAGTTTAAAATATCAAATCAAAGCTATAGTCACAAAAAAGTTAACCTTCTAGGTTACAAAATGTGTTTGTTCTGAAACAGTCTTGAAGAAAGCTGCAACTGGGGCCAGAGAGATGGCTCGGTCACTAAGATTGCTTGTTACTTTTACAAAGGATCTGAATTCAGCTCCCAGCAGCACTATGGGGATGCACAGCCATCTATTGCTCCAGTTCAGGGGACACAATGCCCTCTCTGACCTCCATGGCACCAGACACTCACATTATACACATACATATATATATGGGCAAAACATTCACATACACAAAATAAATCTTAAAACCTTTTTAAAAAACTGCAAATACATTACTAGAACTTAGTAAATATTGGAGAATAAAACAATGGTCAATTTTCTCATACCTTGACCATGCTGAAACTAAATTCCAATGCTAGCATCAAATAGTAATAATGTTATCCTTTAAAAGGTTATTTCCTTGACTTGACTTGTACTCTGCCCTTAACCCCAAATAGAGATTTTTTCCCCTCAAAATGCCAATTTAGCATAAAACTGAAGAAGTCCCTTGTTCAGAGCTCATCCCTAACCTACTGTATGCACATCAGTGGGTTTCTCTGAGCCTAGGTTTGTACTTCATAATAGTTTTGCAAGAATAAAATAAATGTACAAAGTTTAGCTTACAAAAGATATCCCATAAGGGTTAGCATAGTTTGTCTCTGTCCTCTTGAGAAGTGTGGTGGTAAACTCCATTATAAAATCCTAGAAAAGAGTGACTATTTCTTATTAGTTTTCATAGGAAATAATTCAACTGAAGTTAATTTAAGACAAAGATTTTTTTGAAGATAGTATTTTTTTTAATCTGAGAAAAAAGCAAGAAGTTTTTGAAAGCAGAAAGAAACATATTTAATCTCCTCACTTATGAAAAAGGAAGCTGAATATTAGAGATTAGGGGTTCCTCAAACCACTAGTGGCTGATGAAGTGGAAATCCTAGCCCAGAAACCGTAGCATTTTGTAACGAAGTCAAATCTGTCTTCGTGACACACTATTTTGGGCAGTTGTTCCTACTGAGCTGTCAAATTTCAACTGGACCCTCTTGTATCTTAACCAACAAGCTACTCTTGAGGCAGATGGTTACACCAGAATCACTCCAGTACAGCAGACATTTTAATGTCTATGTACTAGTTAATACCACCAGGGGTGAATGCCATACTGACACTTGATCCTGTACCCCTTGCACTTGAGTTACATAGAGACCTTGAGATCACCACTGAGGAGTAGAGCTCTTTCCTTCCAACTCATCCCATCTGCTCCTTTCTTGTCTCCTGTCCAAACGTTAGACGGATCTACTGCTTACTCACTTCAATGGAGATGCGTCCACATGAGGAACTAGTCCAAGTGAAATTCACGTACACCTTCAGGTAAGGCTGGGCTTGGGTGTATTCTTATTTTAGCTTTGTGACAGTATCTGAAGAAAATTGACACAGTTCTCCTGAGAAGACTTTACATTCCAGGGCATCTTTCCATTCAACAGGATTCAGAGATGATGGAACTTCATGTCAGCACAGGAGACAGCAGAGAAGGATTTTGGCATTCTCAAGCTTTGAGTCATAACTGATACCTTGCTAGCATAAGACAGAAAGAATATTTTGTGACATTTCAGGATTTGCCAAAGGCAAATGAATACCAAACTCAATAGTTGTCTTAGTGTAGGGCCTCCTTTGGCTTAGATAGATGGAAGTGGAAATAAAAAATTTTAAATAAACTTAAATCCAACTAGCAAATCTATTTTTCTTTTGTTTGTGAGATTATAATATAATTATATAATTTCTCCCTCTTCTTTCATCCATTCAATCCCTCCCATATACCCCTTCTTTCAAAGATATTTGGAAGAATATTTAATACACAGTCACCAGAAAGTTTGCCATGCAACCCCATTAAAATTCTACACACAGGGAGATCTATGCCCAAATTAATATTATATTTAATACAGGACCTCAGAAAATAGATCTAGATAAATTGAAATCATTGAAAAGGCATATTAGGAATGTCAGAAGAAAAGCACTTTTTCTGGAGGAATAATAAAACTTAAGGAATATGCTAAGAGGCATGAATACTTGCAAATAATATAAATTAAATAAAAAGCATTCAGGAAAAAAATTCCATCTACTTTTTTTTTCAGGCTGAAAGAAAAGGATCTGAAATACACTCAATCAAATAATTTAGCTCTATGCAATACTGTCTTAAATTGAGAATGAATTAGTTATATATATATATATATGGTTGTAGTTCAGCTGCAAACTAAATAACACTAAAGTGTATTAGGCTTTCACTCTGGGCATAATCTTTACATTTAAACATCAAGTATCCCTTTGTTGAATGTTTCCTCTATAAAAGTGATAAAACTGACCCTTGGAAGGATAATTCACTAGTTCATACACATAGAAGAGGGATTGGATCCTCATCTGTTGAACCGGAACAGTGATATTGTGTGTATCTCTCTATACTAAATAAATAAGATGAGAAATGTGTGCTGTCTGTGACAGAGTATTAATACATGATCAGCTTCTTACCAGTCTCGTGTTACCAGAGTCTCCTTTTACAACTGATTATTGTGACTTCATTTCCATTGATAGCATATGATGTCACACAAGTCAGAAACATCTACTGTGTTAGCATTTAGTGAGAAATGGTATACATGTGATCTAAGATACACTAGACAGTAAAGTCTTTCTTATCATATCCTCTCAAATATGGCATGTGTGAGATAAATAAATAGATATAATTACATGGGAAGAGAAAAAGAAAGGGAAGAAAGGAGAGGAGAGAGGAGAGGGGAGGGGAGGGAAAAGGAGAGGAAAGCAGAGAAACACAATTACATAATTAGGATTTCAATCTTGAAATTTTAAACCTGGAACTATTAAGGTTAATAAAAGCCTACTCTAGGGAGGGGGACTTGATTGGGGGAGGGGAGGGAAAGGGGAGGCGGCAGTGGGGAAGAGACAGAAATCTTTAATAAATAAACAAATAAATAAAAATTAAAAAAAAAATAATTGTGGGACAGAGTATGTAGCCCAGGCAGTGGCAGAGTGCTTGCCTAACCTACACAAGACCCTGGGTTTGATCATGTAGCATCAAAACAAAGAGGATAGTGCATAACTCACTATTCATAAGTAAATATATTTGTTCATCTATATATAGATAGGGTATGTATATATGTGCAGATATATGCATGCATTGTATATCTATAATAATTCTAAATTATACAGAAGTTCCTCATAATAATCATCAGATCATATTTTCTAAAGAACTAGCTACATCCCTAACCAAGGTGATCTAAAGAATATTTTTATTCAAACTATATTTTTATTTTTGTAATTGCTTGGCATCTTTACATATTTGTGTAATGAACTTTGGTCATTTTCATTTCCCCCATTCCCTTTTCTTATCCCAACTTCTTTTTCACTGGAATACTGCTCAATAAGCCCCTTCTTGTCTTCACAGCGTTTTTGTTGTGTGTGGTCCACAGAGTCAATGAATGTTTCATGCCTGAGTATGGGTGGAAGGCTTATTTTACTGAGGGAAAGACAATGTATCATGGCTACCCCAATGAACAAAGTGACACCTATCCCTCCAAAGGTTTTAATTCCCAACAGTCCCTTGGGGAGAGGTAGAGCCTCTTAGGGCCCCTTAGGTGCAATCCCAGGCCAACCACAGCTGCTGTGAGTTTATGAGTGCAGCAGCTATGCCATGTCAGAGGGCATCTTTGGCTGCATATTTCTCTATCTTCTGTCTTCTCCTTTCTTTCCATCCCCACTTCCATGATGTTCCCTGAGTCTTGAAGAGAGTAATGTAGCTGTTTTGTCTAGGGCTCTCCCAGCACTTGTGGGTTCCTGCATTTATTGCTGTCTGCTACAGTGGGAAGCTTTTCTGTTGGAGGTAGTAGATAGCGCTAATCTGTAAGTATTAACATGAGTATTTACAAGGCAGTTAGACATGATCCTTTAGCAAAGCAATACTATCAGGTATTCAGTGGGACCTATGACTTACCCAGCCATGGACTCTTGACCTGATTAACAGAACCAAGGCATGAGTTCCTGCCTCAAATCCAATAAGAAAGTGGTGGTTTCCATGATAGCAGTCATGCCGCTAGCACAGTAGGAAGGTATGTCTTCCCTGGCAAACCATTATTTCAGGGTTCCCTGCTGGATAAGACCAAACTGTGCTAGTCTCTTCACTAGCAGAGTTGATCCTGTGCTCCACATTATCTTTCTGTGTTTTATTTTGGCTTGCAAACATCTTGCCAAAAATTCTTTGTTATTTGTGTATGTTTTATAATCCTGAGTACAGGCATTAAGTAACACGACTTTTGTTCAATTTCCGTGGAAGTCTTTATTTCTTTAACCTTCTGCTTTTGCCATTAATCTTTTAGAAAGGCTGTGTGAGGTTGCAAGTTCCCAACTCTGTACTCTGTAGCCTGAATCTACTATATCCATCATGCAAATCTCAGAACTGCGGGAGAAGCGCTTCTTAAACATCCTTTGGTGAGAGATAAAGTTTCCATCTCATGATTTGTACTGAGAATAGATCATTTTGCAATATGACTTGACACAAACTACTTGAAACCATCAACACTACTTTAGATGCTATAATCAATCCCTGTTGCTGTTAAGTCACATTTTGCCTGATTTCACAGAGATTCTGTATTTTACCTGTCAGCCTAGTTGAAGCAAAAGGTTTTAAGATTCCTAATAAATTATTTTACCCCACTGTCCTGGATTTCCTTGGTCATCTCTGGAAAGAAGTTCAGGGAATTTATTTTAACCTCCTACTGATCTCTCCACCTAGGAAAAATCTTAGAAGTTCCCACTACAAATGACGGCATGACAGGTCCAGTGCAGAAGCAGCGGCACGGTCTCTCAGTTGTGCAATGAGCAGCCCTGAATTGTATTTTTATAAAAGCCTTCTAGAAAAACACAAGACATTTTCTCTCCTGTTTATCCACTGACGTTGCTGTTTACATTTCAGCTTACATATTGTAATTCATGGCTAGACTTGTTGTGTTGAACTGAAAAGTTAAAATTAATAAGAAGGACTTGGGCACTTTTGTATGCAATGATTCCTAAATGCAATAGACTCTGCTGCTGCCCTTATTTAGGAATATGTTAGGAACATTACCCAATATTTTCTTGTAGCAGGCTTTCTTTTGGGCCACCAACCAGCTCCCAAATCATGACACGGAGACTTATCATTAGTTATGAATGTTTGGCCTTATCTTATTCTTGTCCCTCTAGCTCTTGTAATTTAATTTAACCTGTTTCTCTTCATCTACATTTTGCCTTAGAAATTTTTACCTTTCTTTCATTCTGTATCTTCTACTTTTCTGCTTCTCATTCTCTCTCAAGCCTCCTCCTACTTATTCTCTCTGCCTGCCAGCCCTACCTAGCCCTCTACTATCTAGCTTTTGGCTGGTTAGCTTTTTATTAGACCAATCAAGTGCCTTAGGCAGGCAAGGTGAAACAGCAACACATCTTTACCTAGCTACACAAATGCATCATAAACAAAAGCAACACATCTTTATATCATTAAACAAATGCAGCATGAACAAATATATCAAACTTTCACATAGTTAAAGTAACATTCCACAACACCTTCTCTGTACTAATTCAATGTTAGAAGCTTCCGTGGTAATAGACAAAGGCCAACTCTACAAATTTCTTGTTGTTTTTGTCTTTTTGGCACCAGGGAGAAGAAACACATATATGAGATGAACACAGGGAGTGCTGTACAGCTGAACTGAATACTTTGTATCTAATGAGACATTTTAGAAAAGAGATGTCTAGGCTGAGACAAAAGCACAAAGTCAGGAAGGTTAGCCAATCAGTTACTGTTTATACTAATGAATTTTCTGAATACTACACAATACTTAGAATATAATTCATAAATGTATTTAATATATATGTAGAACGCTACAATGATTTTAAGGATTTTACTTGAAAATAGAGGAATAAGTCAAAAATCTGCAAGTTTAAGGAATCGTTGCTCAGTCATCACTGAGTCTTCTTCTATATGTAAGCATCCCAAACTTGTATTAAAAAAAATGCCTGTAATGATAAATTTCTTCCTTATGTAACTTCCTCAGAGTTACTAAGTAATTTCAGATGCTAACTGGCAAAGCATCCAGAGTTCAAGCCAAACTATCTGTCTATCCAGTTTGGTGATTAACTATGCATACAGTAGCATGTTCCCCTCTAAAGAGGGAACTTCAGACCTGTGTGCAGTGGAAAAAACACTGAGTCACAGGCACGGTTGTGGAATGCAGCTTTGTTTGAACGGGAGCCAGCTGAAGGCAACAGGCAGTTTCCATCCACTGAGTAAAGAGCAAACACCCCTGAAGAGTTACGTGTGAAAGTTATGCAACGATAAGATCCAAATTATTTCAAGTCGTTCTTTGCCAAGCAAGCCTAAGGGAAATCTCCTTGGCTGCAGGTAAGGCATTGCCCCGCCCCACACGTACACTGCCTCCTACATCCCCAGAAGCCCTGGTCTCTCATCCGTGAAATCACCATTCTGTTCCTCCTGCGCATTCCTAACCGCATCAGGATGTGGCCTCTCGGGTTGCAGTGCCACTGAGTAATGATTTCTAGTGTCAATCACAGAAACAGATAAGGAAGACTGAACATGAGAAATTAACAACAGAAAATGAATTTTGTATTAAAGACATGTCCTCTTATAGGCACCATATTTAAAGTTTAAACTCATGGATTATTTTGATTACCTGATATTCTTTGCACTATTACAAAGCAGGTCTCATTAGGACTCATAAAAACCTGAGGTTAAGATGGGACAATTTACCCAAAGTCACATGACTGATAAAAAGTCAAATATAAATTTTAACTCTAAAATCTATTTTTTCTCTATGTCTTGATATATAAATGAATATCTCAAATTGGAGATGAACTTTTAATGAGAAATAGTTAGCCATGTTGAAATCCTTATAAAAGTATTTCTTAATATGAAATGCTGATAATCTCTTTTGAAAAAAAAAACCTTACTAATTAAATGTAATTTTCAGAAAGGAATCACGTTTTGGCTCTGTGTTCAGTACTGTATTCTCTCTCATTTTTCTCCTTAATCTAAAAATGACTTCAGTTTCCAAATGGAGCAACTGTATGTCAAGTTTTAAATTACAACCAAGATACAAAATGTAGTAGAAATAGCAGAACTTTTTCCGGGCACAAACTTTCGGCTATGCTGTTAAATTTTTCTTAAAAGCAACACTATTGTTTGACATTGGGGAAACTTTTATACATTACCTTGATAGCATTTATATGACATCATATTTTATAAATGTTATCCTTTATGCTAATTTACAGGCGAGAATGCTAATAGTAAACTTTGTGGGCAAACACCGAGCCAAGGGAATAAGTAAGAATTTTAAAAGAAATGTTGAGCCAAGGAGAGTTTTGAGAAACAAATAAATGATTTAATTTTAGTAGTTCCATTTAAAAAAAAAAAAGAAAGAAAGTGAATTCAAATAGAAGGGAAACAGGGCAGTAATCTCATAGGACCAACAGACAATCCAGGAACCTCCAGAGTCAGTTGTGAATATGCTGTACACACGAAGACTGACGGGAATATTCCATTGGAAGTGGCAACATTACCTAACAACAGCAGTCACCCCAACAGAAACACTTGCCCACACTGATTTGAAGTCAACCAATAGACAAGACCGTTTTCGTTGCAAAGCAGGAATTCTGAGTGGGGAAAAAGCACATGGTCTGTCAGGAAGACTGCAGGATGGATATCTGGAATGTGTGGGCTAAAAGAATGCAAAGTGCACCCGTGGTTCCATCTCTTCCCAGTCTCGACCCCCGGCTGCCTTTGCCTACCTGTTGCACATGGTCACTTGAAGCTAATACGAGAAGCCCAGACTTTCTTGGCTGCTAGTGTTCCTCTGGGTTCTGTGCTCAGAGGGAGAGGGAGCGGGGAGTACTTCCTGATTAACACTTCAGTGAGGTAGAAAGAGTCCAGCCAACAGGTCAGGGATTTCAGATTCTGGATCTGATAGTATCTAGTCAATGTGTGACCTTGAATATGAAAAAAAGTCCTCTTTAGATTTTAGCTTCTTTATAAAAAAAAAGTGTTATAAGTTATGAATCCATATATAATGCAAAATGTTTGCCATACTTTTCTGCCCTTGGCATTGAACTTGTCAGGCTACTTATCACATTTTTTTTGTATCACAGCTAGATACTTCTTTCTTACTTCTTTTTTGTGGACTCCCTTCCCAATACACACACACACGCACATGCACACATGCGTGCACAGACTATTCTGTGATGGCAAATGAACAATAAAGTAGCTGGATTTCCTAAGTGTTTAGCATCTGTGTTCACTTGTCTGAAGAAACTATCCAAATGGAGCGTACTCTGGAGAGTTGTTGAGTCTGTGTGTGGGTGTACAGGACCAGACTCAGGATTCTTCCAATGTTCTTTTGAGGTCTTCTCACCATAACTGCAAAAACTGAAAAGGATTGCTTTCACTTCCCCATTTTTCCAACAATGAGATTATAGGCGCAGATATTATCTAATTATTTACATATATAATATAATTATTATATTATTTCTAAAATTCTGTTACTATTCTGATAAGTAATTAAGTATTGCAGTAACACCTACTCTACTAATTTGTGAATATGAATATATTCAAGGTTTAATGAAAATATATTTAAACATTTATTTTCATCAGATTTCAAGGACCAAGATGTTGTTCTAAATACTCCAGAAATTTATTGTGAAAATGTTTTTCACAGTCGGCCACACCCTCAAAAAGGTTCAAGTCATTTATGGAAATGAAATGAATTCTCTCAATACATATGTATCCTTTAAAATATATTAAGGTTATATAAAAGTATAGTGGATAATTGAGATCATGTTTAATTATATAACCTGCATATAAGCACTCTAAGAATACATGTCTTATTAATTGTATATTCTCATAATTATAATAGAACTATGACTTAAAGTCTCAAACTCAGCCATGTCCTCAGCAATATACACAGAGACTTTACTTTCCACCAACTGCTACCAAAGTTTTCTCTTCTTGATTCACCCTTACCCCATCCTCTATGTGTAAGACTGTAACAGTTGAAAAACAGGGAGTCTGGATGCGACCCACTTTCTTGTTCCCTCATATTAACCTTGCCTGGGGCCACCTGTTCAACACTGCTTCAGGAAGGACAGGTAAAGAATTAAGGTGGAAAGGGGAGACTGCTCAGACCAGTGCAGGACCCAGTGGAGGTCTGAAGTTCTTTACAAGACTGGGACTCCTTCTCCCAGTCCTCTGAGCAGTCTCAGGTCTTGTACCAAGTGGGTAAAGGTATACTGTTTACTGCTGTCATAACAAATTGCCACAAACTCCGTAGTTTGGAACATTTTCCATCTTATAATTCTGTAGGCTAGACATCTGGTAGCCCCACAAAGCTGCCATAAACGCATCAGTCACCATGTCCACTTTCCTGAAGAAGCTGCTTCTAGGCTCCTCTAGGCAGCTGGCAGAATTCTGTTCTCCTCCACCTTCGGGCCATCAGTAGACAGTCATGCTCTGAATCTCTCTGACGTCAGACCCACAGTGTTTTCTATGTTTATGGCCCCCAGCAGTTCATTAGGTCCACTGATTAATCTGTAATAATTGAATGCATATAGTTATCAAATCTGCCACGTCCTTCTGGCTGTCTACAGTGACTGTCACATTGCAGAGGTTATGGTTTGTACATCTTTGGGTGGTGCTACTGCACTTTACAGGAAACCTTCTATCTTCCACAGGAAACCATCAGGGAGTCCTAGGGAAAGTATTGTACCTTCTCTATGTGCAGTGGCTTATTTCTGGGAATCCTCTGCTACAGGCTTGGCTTTTGACATCTTTGAAGGAAGTATCTCCTATGGCTGTTACTCTCTCTGTGTTGTGAACTTGTTCCTATAGAGTCGGAAGGTTGGATTGGGGCGTGAAAAGGAGCCATGTTCTCACAACCCACACCAGGCAGCCCAATTATAAGGTTCTTCTTCATGGTTGTTTTGATCCTCCCCCTTTCTTCCATGGCCCCTTTCCCCTAACTCCACCTGTTCAAAATTAATAAAGAATAGAGGTTTCTTGAAATTTAATAAGCTGTTTCTCTTTGAAAAGCTTGGAACAGGCATTTGTATGACTTAGAAATGTAAGTTTAGAACAAAACATTCATTTGTAGATCCTTAGCTGTGAGATGTCTGTGAGCTGTACCAATCACCAAGATATGAGGTGTTTAAGAAGAGGACAAACACTTTTCATATCCAAATCTATGACCTCATTTTTATATTGTTCCATACCCGTCATTTTCTAGAATAGATAGCAGCACTTTGTAAAAACCTACAAGGTAATAATGAATATACATACTCTATAATAAATGCATACAACAATATACTGTTTTCAGAATTTTTAAATTTTGAAGAGCATGAAAAGTAATACATCATTCAATGCTTTCACATGCCTTTCTCAAATTCCGGTGCAAAACAGATGAGATCAGGTGAATTTTGGGTTGGTATGACCATAAATATTGGTGCTAAACAGTGTGACAGAGAACCCACAGTTCAAGTGGACACAGACTTCTAGAAACATTATTCCTCACTGTTGCTTTATATTCAAGCTTATTACTTTCATTCAAAACTGGGCAAAATAGTGATGCAAATGTGATCAGAAAGTGTGTATAGAGTGGCTGTCCAGACTCTACCTGGTGCTCTTCTCTCGAGGCCACTTTAGCTGAGGGATGCCACTGCTTTGTGGCAGAAATCATTCGGCCATTGTATGCTACACTTCTTTTTTGTAGTGTAGAGGATTCTCGGGGTATTTCTTCCCTTCCTTCAGTAAGAGTCTCCTGCTGAAGGGAAGTCAAGAATCTGCCTCCTGGAATCCCCCATGTCAGAGGCCAGTATTAAAGCAAAAAAGCTGTCTTTCAGTGTCTGTTTCTTACCCTTCTACTGACCAGCTACCACCACACACTGAGAGTCAATCCTTTCGAGAGTGACCACCTTCTAATCTTGCCATCTTTTAATTTTTTTTTCAAATTTTCAAGTTTAATAGCTACTACAAAAAGAACAGGCTGATTTCTGCAACAGGTATATCATATAGTCTACCCACAACACATCTCAGGCCATTCCCAACAGTGGAAGAAAGGCCAACCCCCACCCTCAGCACTGTAGGAAAGGCATGTCTTGGATGACACCAAGTTTTGTTTTTAAGCATGATAGAGTACAAGAGATTTTCTTCTGGCTGCCCAATGGAGCCTGGCAGAAAAATGGTTCAGTGCTCACTTCTGCTTAGAGAAATATTCTTTGCTCTTTTGGACATCCTGCCCCCAACTTCAAAGCCACAGCTGTTATGCCAGATGGCCAATTCAAAGATATCAGCCTAAGTTATTACAAAGGAAAATATGTCGTATTCTTCTTTTACCCTCTGGAATTTACTTTTGTGTGCCCCACTGAGATCATTGCTTTCAGTGATAGGGCAGAAGAATTTAAGAAACTGAACTGCCAAGTGATTGGAGCTTCTGTGGATTCTCACTTCTGTCATCTGGCATGGGTTAATACACCCAAGAAACAAGAAGGATTGGGACCTATGAACATCTTTTAATTTTTAATTAGAGCATATGTAGTGGAAAGTGGGGCGCTGACATGGATCACACATGGAAGTCAGAAGACAACTTGTAGAGGATGGGTTCTCTCCTTTCACTGTGTGGGTCCAAGAGATCAAACTCAGGTCATCAAACTTGGTGACAAACAACTTTATTAGCTGAGCCATCTCACCAGTTTGAGCTTGTCATCATAATTCTGTCCATCTTCTGTATTTCCTCAGATCCCATTACATTTATCCATGTGGTGGTAGTTAACACAACACAGTAGAAATCATCTGCTTATTTATATTTCGTCCACAGACAAGTATTTTCTGAAAATCACTTAATATTCAAAGTCAACATAAAACTGTCTCATAGTGAATAGTTAATGAACACTGTATGAATGGATAAACAGTTTTAATAATGCTAGGTCATCATATAGCAGCAACCAGACCAGATTTAGTTTCCATGCTTGAGTCTATAGGTATGATGGTGCCCATTCTACGTATGCTGATCATCATATCTGACCATAATGCCTCACTATCTTTCTCCTGACTGAGATAATGACTGCGAAGATGTAGTTGAGCAAAGGAAGCAAGCAGTGTATGCACTCACCATGTTGCCTAAGCCTGTCGCATAAACAGCATGACTCATATTAGTCGTGTCCATACTAGAAGCCCAGAAGTACCCTGCCCGTGGTTTATAGTTAGCAGGAACTTACTACTATAGGCCTTGAGTGATTGCTGTGTGTCTGTTTCCTAACGTGTACTGAGCTATGCAACAACATAAGCTTTACCACAAAACCACAACCCTATCAAAGAAGTAAGTACAGGGAGCATATGCTTCCCATAGGGGATGACAATAATCCACTCATCCAAGATGGACTCAACAGCTCACATGCCTCCCAATCAACTCTTGAGCTTGCTGTCAGCTTGTAATTGTAGTATTGCTTGTTCCTCCTTTTCACCTGCTGTGGTGCACTGTACTTATCCTTTAACAATGCCTCTGGATGAAGCTGAAAGTCTCTTGGAGACCAGAACAATGCTTTATCCATCTGCACTCTGTCTGCTGTTAAATATATGCAAAAGGAATAAATTAATAAGTTAAAGACTATGTTGATTGCCTTATTCCATTTTCCACTATTAGAACAGAACACCACAGACTGGATAATTTATAAACAATAGAAGCTTATTTGGATTATGATCCTAAAAGCTAGGAAGCCGGAGACTGAGGATTCACTTCTAGTAGGACTTTCTTTCTGCCACAAATGTCATTACATAATATTGACTCCTATGGCAATCAGACCCAAAACCAGGGACCCACATTCAACTCCTGCACACATCGTACACACACATATATACATGTACACATGCACACACACATACACACATAAATAACTGTTTTTAAAAAGTAAACTGGAGTTTCTATTTGTGCCCACAAAGCTAGTTTAATTTAATATTCACAAATACCTTGAGGAAATAAAATTGAATCTATCCATTTTATATTAAAGGAAATATAAGGCACACAGAGGGGAAAGGACTTGCTAGGTTTACAGGTGCCAAGGGGCAGAGGTCAGATGAGACCACAGGTGTGACAGTTAATACTAATTATCAACCCGTCAGGATCTAGAAGGTCAATTTCTGGTAATGGCTGCATTCCATAGGCTGGAATCCCAGAGAGAGTAAAACACCAATGTTCATCTCCCTCTGCTTCCTGACTATGGACACTATATGGTTAGGTGCCTCACATTCTTGCCACTGTGGCTTCCCCTCCATGATGAACTGTGTTCCCTGGAACCGTGAACCACAGTAGACCCCTCCTATCTTAAATTGTCTTTGTCACATATTTCGCCTCATGTCTTAGGTAGGGTTACTATTGCTGTGATGAAATGTCACAACCAAAATGCAAGTCTGGAGGCAAGGGTCTATTCTGTTTCCACTTCCACATCGCTGTTCATCATTGAGGGAAGTCAGCCCAGGAACTCATACAGGGCAGGAACAGATACAACACAGATGTGTACTGCTTGCTGCCTCTGGCTTGCTCAGCCTGATTTCTTATAGAACCCAGGACCTCCAGGCCAGGGGTGGCACTATCTATCACTAATTAAGAAAATGTTCTACAGGCTTGCCAACAACCTGAACTTATGAAGTCTCTCTCTCTCTCTCTCTCTCTCTCTCTCTCTCTCTCTCTCTCTCTTTTTCTTTTCTTCATTTTTTAAGAGAGGGATTCTCATTATAACCCTAGATGTCCTGAAAGTCACTTTATAGAACAAGCTGGCCTCAAACCCAAAGATCAATCTGCCTCCCAAGTGCTGGAATTAAAGGCATGTGCCACCACCGCCCGGCTGGAGGCATTTTCTTAATTGAGGTTCCCTGCTCCCAGATGACTTTAGCTTGTGTCAAGTTGGCATACAACATACGACCATCTAGTTTACCTCAGTAATGAGAAAAGTAGCTAACATACACAGCCCGACCACCATGCTGCCTCTACTATGAGAGTCTCTACAACTCCATCCAATAAGGAAGTGGGCGTTATCATGTAGAAGACCAGAGCTGCAGTCCTTGTGTGCTCTATCTGGCTAGGAATTATCTGGCAGCCGTGCAATACAAAAATAATAATTACTGAAGTATTCATTTTGAATTTGAAAGAGAGCACTCATTTATCTACACAAAAAGTAAAGTAGGTTTTGGAACCGTGGCCCTCTGTGACTGACATATAGGCAGCATCTCATCGGCCCTTCCATTACGGTTTTTACATAAGAATTTAAAATGCTGTCCAAACGTAGCAAATGATCCCATGTGGATGCAGATGAATAATGCCTAAAATGTCAAATTATAACAAAATTTTTAAGAAGCAAAGCTTAGTTAGAGGTCTTCCGACAATGGGGGTGGATCTTACAAAGGGTATTAAACCCCACCCTGCCTTGTTCCCTAGCCATGAGATGAATAGTTTTGTCATATGGTCCCACAATAATGTGATCGTTGCTTCAAACTCAAAACCAACAAGGCCATCTTACCATAAACTGAAAACTCTGAAACTTTGAACCAATTAGCCTCGTTTATGAAGCTCATTGTCTCCAGTATTTTGTCACAGTACCAGAAAGCTAACACCACCCATTACATACTGGTGGTGAGTAATGTAAAAGAGGACGGGGCAGGTTTCCTTCATCTTCTGACACATAAAACACACTGTTGTGTAAAAGAGTTTATTGTTAATACAATTTAGAAATAACTTCTGGTTTTTTTTTTCCTAGACTGCACTTCTGAGCATACTTTGAAGGCAAGCTGGATGGTATATTGTGTAACAGTTATTACCTTTGGAGACCGCAACCATCTGGGCTCAACATCCTCTTAGAAGGAATATAAGTATGGCTGCCAAGGCCACACACTATGATCAAAAACAACTGAAAGATAAAAACGAAGAAGAAAAGCAGAGAGAATTTCCAAGTACTCAAAGCACTTACAGACAAAAATTTCACACTATTCAAAGGAAGTTAATGTCTTTTTATTCCTGTATTTAACTACAAGAAATAGTTTTTACAAGTATGTTTTTCCTTTCTCTGAATGATGGATGAGCCACCCATGTTCTAGAATTGTGACCTTGTCACCAGCCTTGTAGGGTTCTCTAATTCCAAGTGCCTTTAAGTCCTAATGGAGACTCCTCAAAGAACCACAAAACCAAACCTTTATGAGTCCTTAGGATCAACTCTAGCAAATTTTGTGACACCAACTACCCTTTGTGGTGGCAACCCCTTACCACACATACCATAGCCCTGTAAACAGAGACTGCTCATTCATTTCCCGGCTGCCCAGACATGAATAATCACACAGAAACTATACTAATTACAACACTGTTTGGCCGATATCTCAGGCATATTTCTAGCTAGCTCTTACATCTTAAATTAATCTATTTCTATTATTTTATATTTTACCATGAGGCTTGCAGTTTGTTACCTCTTGCTTCTTAGGCAGCTATATGGCATTTGGCTCCTTTGACAGCTACATGGCATCTCCTTGACTCTGCCTACTCTCTCTATATATCTCTGTTTGGATTTTCCACCTAGCTTTACTCTGCTAAGTCATTGGCCCAAATAGCTTTATTCATCAACCAATAAAAAGCAACACATATACAGAAGGACATCCTATATCATGGCCCCATTTCCTTTATTTATTAACAAAATAATAAATCAATTCTAGCTGCCACAGAGAATGATAGTTTTACTCAGGAAAACTCTGAAGTATAGAAGGTTGAGGGGAAAGCTGAGTTCACCAAAGCACTTAATTTTAGTCATGTTGCAAGACAGCAACAAGCCAAGAAATTAATTGTTCTCATCTTTATGCAAACTCAGCCTCAAGCTTTCTATAAAGTTTTCTTCAAGAGACGGGCCAGGTTTTCTTCATAGAGGAAAACAAATGTCCTGCCTGTGCTCTTAGAAGAATATGAACTTGGAGTATTTGAGGGTCAGGGAGGACTGTGCTGCCAGCCAAGTAGTATTTATTGAGCACAGATGACAAACCTGAACTATACCTTCAGACGAAAAGTGTGTGAATAACAGATGCATGTATCCATCTTCCCACTTATCGCCCCATTTGGAAATCTCATGACCCATCATGCCCAAAATTGAATCCATTCAACTTCCATTAAAATAATTCTTCCTTGTAATTTTGATCTATGCCCAACATACTACCCATCCAACAGTTAATTCTTTATTCTTCTTTCTTGCACACTGCTTCTCCTTCTCCTACACGATCTTGAACAAATCTTGTGGTCATATTGTTTTCTGGTTTTAATGGCATTGCCTGAATTACTACAGCAATGACGTCCACTCTTGCTTTTTCTGATTCATTTTCCATAGACTATAGTCACCATGACCTTCTGAGAGATGAAGACAGAGAGAAACAGAGGTAAAAAGAGGGAAGGAAGAAGGATAGAGTTTTTGAAGGGTCCTAAACACAGCAGGGTGCTCCATCCTGGACCCTGGATTAGGCACAAACCACACCCAAGCTTCTACTTTTACAGAGAGTTCCTTTATTAAATGGGGGAAGGGAGTACGGTGGCCATTTCTGACACAGGCGATTCACAGATTAATAAAAATGGGTTAATTTAAGATATAAGAGTTAGCCAGGAATGTGCTAAGCCATTGGTCAAGCAGTGTTGTAATTAATATAGTTTCTGTGTGATTATTTGGGTCTGGGTGGCCAGGAACAAAAGAATAGTCTCCATTTACAAAACTATGTTTGAAACCTTTTGGCTATGGGACATACAATTGCTTAACACCCGAACTGCTAGATTGGATTGGGGAATTAACATTCAGTGGGCAAGATTGCTCTTATTGAATATGTGGCTGGCATCATAAGAAATGATTACATAATCCAAAAGGTAAAACTTGACTTCTGCATAAAGGTGCACAACATTAGTGAGTATTGGCTCATTTGTATAGTGGCAGGATTTAGGGAGAAGTTGACATTGTGGCAGTGAGGAGAAACTCAAGAGATTAGGTTCTGGGAGCTAGAAATTAGAAACATACGTGGGAGGGTTAGAAAATGATGTTCTCTTGAAATGGAGTTATCCTCACTCAGGTGATCAACTATGGAATACTGCTCAGCTTTAAAGAAAAATGAAATCACGAACTTTGTGGTAAATGGATGGAACTAAAAAACATATTGAGTAAGGTAATCCAGACCAAGAAAGACCACCTCATTCTCAGTTTTTATCTTGTTTTGAGTCATAGGCAGTTATTGTCTATAATAAATGAATTCTCTCTCTCTCTCTCTCTCTCTCTCTCTTTATTTCCACATTCTTTATCCCATAAGAGCTCATTGTAATATGCCTACTATATGTCTGTATGTGCATGTGTATATATTTCAAAAATATATATCTAATTTTATTATATAATCTACAAATATATTAAAGTATAAATATATTTAAATATAGTATTTCTTTAGGTATTTATGTGTTTTAAAGTTACTCAGATCAACCTCCTGAATTAATCTCTTGTCAGTACTTCTTCAGATGGACACATTTATAAAACTATTACAGAAGTTAAATTAGAAAGGCAAGAGGAAATAGGTATTCAACAGAGCCATGCAGAGGACAGAATGATATGATCATCTAGCCTGGTGGAAAGAGTCTAACAAGGGATGGAACAATACTTAATCAATGACTCTGAAGTCCCTTAACAATGAAGAGATTCATACTTAGACATAAAAGAGTAAAAGAGAACTATTAAATGTTGCTTTCTCTTATTGCATGCAAATGGGAACTAAGTAACACAAAGAACAAGGATGGCTAAGAAAACAAATTACCGTCCCCCTTGGACATTGCATTAAGATTAAAAGAACATGTACAGATCTACTTGGAGGAGAGACAGTTCAGAAAATTACTTCTTTGCTTTTCTAACGTCATGAAATAAAACCTTTTAAGCCCAACTTTCAGGCTGCGTTTCTCAAGAGGCACCCTATAGTTGACAGGCCTATTCATTCTTGAAATTAAACTTGTCTTCAGAATGTCAACTTCCACTCATACTGATGCTCCTGGGAATGTTCCACCACAGGCTGGTAAGCATTAGTACCCTAAAGTGAGCCTTGCCACACACACACACACACACACACACACACACACACACACACACAGACATGTGACATGCACTGAGGCATCTTTTGTCATTTCTTTTGCTCCCAGACATTACAAATTCTGCCAGAGTTCCATCCACATGGTTCTGAGGCCTAAGTTGCTGGCTTAGCTTCTGTTTAAGTAGATGATGGCAAACTCTAAAACAAGATGGACAATTTGGAAGCTCCAGTAGCTCAGGCTGAATTGTCATCACCTCCAAATCTGGCTCTACAAATTCTACAAGTTTCTCATTAGAGAAGTGTCTGCCACCAGTTTGGAATTTTAAAGTATCCCTTTTGAATATGGGTGAATTAGTCTGGATTCTCTAGCGTAATAGAACTTATAGAATGAACCTCTCTATAAATAAAATGGCACTGATTAGAACAACCTTCAGGCTGTGGTCCAGCTAATTCAACCATGGTTGCCTATGAACAGAAGGTCCAAGAGTCCAGTAGTTCTTCGGTCCAAGAGGTTGGATATCTTAACTGGTCTTCAAGTATGCCAGAATCTGGGAAACATAGGTTCTAATGCCAGTAAAGAAATGGACTTGCTAGATAAGAGCAAGCAGACAGAGTAAAGTGAAGCTTCCTTCTTCCATGCCCTTCTATAGGCTGCCAGCAGAAGGTATAGCCCAGATTAGAGTTGGGTCTTCTCACCTCAGAAGATCTGTATTAAAGGTATGTCTTCCTACCTCAAAGATCCAGATAGATGTGGATTTTCTTACTTCAAAGGATGTAACTAAGCAAAAATTCCTCATAGATGTGCCCAGCTGTTGTGGGATTTCAATCCCTTTAGCCAAAGGCTTTTGGGGTTATGAGCCCTAGGGCATGGTCTTGTCTGTTTACATGGCTCTTGCACTCTCTCTTGGCGTGGTGGAGAGCAAGTGGCCAAGAGGCAGCGCGGTTGGTGCTCTTCACCCCTGGGCAGAAAGGCTGGATGAGGCAGTTCAGTCAGTAGCTGTGTCTGATTTGTTCTGTATCTGTAAATTTGTCTTTCCATTGCACCCCTTAATAAATTGTGGATTCTCACATCACCCAGGCATTTTGAGGTTTATTTAATTACAAATATAGTCAAGTTGACCACCAACACATGTCTTTAATAGCTCTTTAGAGACTAGTGCATGATTGTTGTGAGTTTGAGGCCAGCCTAGGCTACACAGCAAGCACCAGGCCAACCAAGACCTTGTCTCAAACAAAAAAAAAAAGTATTGTCTTTTGGTTTATTATCTAATATTTGAGGGTATAAATTAACTAATAATAAGTAGGATCTGGCATTTGACATGAAATAACAGTTTTAGTTACTTTTCTATTGCTGTAAAGAGGCACCATGACCAAGTATCTTTCCCAGTTGAGGTGAGGTAGCGATGTACTCTAGTCTAGGGGAAAGAAACAACAGATAAGCAAGAAGGGAAACCCTACTCACTGGTCCTCATCTTTTGATTCTAGGGTATGAATTCTTCTTCAAAGGGCAAATGAAGAGGAAGAGAAAGAAGTATCAATGCTGGAATCATTCTATTAATAATGAAGTTTCTTTGCTGTCCTGATTTCACTTTTGGCTTAGACCTCCTTTGTCGAGCATCTTTTCAGGATTCAGTTCACCGGGCCCCTTTTAGTGGGCTTTGGTAGTAATGATAGAACAGCTATTACCAGGGCCCCATCTCTTTTAAATCTGAACACTGATGCAGGTTGTCTGCTGGGAGAAAGTTGGTGAGTAATGTTTTCTGGATTTATCTTTCTCTGAGTGCCTTGTAATTTGATCATTTCCTGTAGAGTTCATTCCAAGTGACCCCCTGATCAGACAGCTGTACTCAATTCAACTCTCCCCCTCCATAGTTTGGATCTCTGGAAACTGTTGAGAAAGAAAAAGACATGTTTCCAGCAACACTACAGACCATTGCAATGCTGTGAGCTGTCTCAAGGCCTGCAGCTCCAGAGAAAGTTCTAAATTAACTCACACTTGGTGAAAATGGTGGTCCTTTGCCTTTCTGGTTTAACTGTCATTAGCCCGATTGTTATTGTTAACTTTTCTAAAGGAGAAAGGAGCCAGAGCCACCATAGGCAACAGGAGTGGATTTAGCAAATAACCAACCATGGTTTAGAAAGTTCTCACGCAGAAGCTAGAAGAGGGAAACGGAAGCTTTATCAAGCTTGAGGACAAATTGAGTCTGTTTTCCCTGCCATGGTCTCTGATTTTTTGTTCAAAAGAATCTTCAGAACTCTTAAGTCAGACAAAGAGTAGCTACCTCTTCACAATTAAAGATTGCTGTGTTCTGCTGTTAATAATCTATTTATTCATAGTTTATACCTGTGAGGGCTGTATCCCCCAAACTGGAGTTAGAGGCAGCTGTGAGCAGTCATGTGGGTGTTGGGAACCAAATGTGAGTCCTCTGAGAGAATAGCATGTGTTCTTACCGACTGCTCCATCTCTCCAGGCGCAACTATTAAGTTTTCAACCACACCACAGGTTTTTTTCATTTGGTTCCATGATGGGTCTTTCCAGACCCACCTAATATATATAATCCAGGAAGCCTTCACACAACCTCCAGGAGGAACCTTCATCGTTGTGACATTCCAAGATGAGGTCACTTGTCAATCTCACCCAGAGTTTATGCACAGAGCTCTCTTGCCTGAAGAGTGAGTGCTTCCAGGGATGAGGGGCTGGGGGAAGAAACTGTCTTATTTTTTCTCTTCTGCCTAATAAAATAAAAGTATTTTTTTTATTTAGAGTCAGTGAATTTTCATCCTATTTCATATAAACATTTAGTGATATTTTAAGAGCTTCTGGAAAATATTATGATGCATTGTTTTACTTGGTTCTCAACATTCTCCATGTGACAAAGGAGATGTTTTCAGCACTCTTTCTATTATATCAACATTCAAATGAAAAAGTTCTGGATGGATGTGGGCATGGGAATGAAACATTTACTTGGCACTGAGAACATTCTTAATGCTGCTGATGTATTATATATTTCACTGGAAGAAGAAAAGAAAGACAAGGAGGGACTTAGTCTTTATCTTTAAGAAGTAGGCATGTGATGGCCTGATGGGAAGTGAGGAAGGAGGGGAAACAGCCACAGAAAAGCTGTGTAGAAGCAAGATGCTGCCTGAGAGGAGGCTGATCAAACAGGAGACTACTCTTCAACCACGGCAGAGGGTCAAGAGAGTGTAGAAAATGGAGCTATGCTCCGGTTTCCTGACCTTGGTTTGGGCTTAATTAGAAAGTCTTGACTTTTGGTTTTGATATTGTTTCTGAGAATTGTTAATTTCGAACTTTTCCCTGGGCATGATATTATCAAGATCCACCTAGGCTTTGGCCTGAATTCCCATAAAGTTGCGATCACTTGCAACATTCTACTGAAAATACATATACTTCTCTAACAGTTGAGAGAGAGAATTTACAATTGTTGGCACTTAGATTCCTCAGAAAGAATCTTACTTTATGGTACACTGGCCTGCTCCTCCCCGATACCATTGTGTGTTATTTGTCAACCAGTTTATAACTGCCAAGATTTAGAAAACTGGGTCATCTTGTAATTGTCTTTGTTTCTTGAACTGCCTGTCTCGTGGTTTTCTTCCTATTTTCCTGTAGTCACATGCCGCTCTTGTTCTCAAAGATAAAGCTCCAATTTCCATTGCCTTCTGATCATCACCAATCACTGAAAATACAGTGTGCATGACTCAGGACATTTGTCTTGGGGCTTTTAGTCAGCTGGTATAGAGAAATGTAGATCATATTTCAGAAAGTGTATTCTGCAGAGTACTGATGGGATCTCTTGAAAATTTTATTCTGTTATTAGGTAAGTTGGAAGGTATTTAATTAAATCACATTTTTTTCTGTGCAACATTGGCACAGTAAGTTCCATCAAGCCAAAATTGTTACTGTGTCCCCTGTGCCTAGGAGAAGGTCTGATACTTGAGATGTACTGATTATTCCTTAAGACAGTAATTTTTACAGAAAGACAATTATCACATGTACTCACTCATAGGTGGTTTTTAAACATAAAGCCAAGAAAACCAGCCTATAAACCACAATACCAGAGAACTTAGACAATAATGAGGACACTAAGAGAAACTTACATAGGCAGTAAAAAAAAGAGAAGATCTCCTGAGTAAATTGGGAGCATGGGGACCTTGGGGGAGGGTTGAAGGGGGGAGAGGAGAGGCAGAGAGGGGAGCAGAGAAAAATGTAGAGCTCAATAAAAATCAATTTTAAAAAAGACAGTAATTTTTAGAGTCTTTATCAGCATAAAACCTATTATAAATTTCCAAGAAAGGAATACTGTATGTAATGCGATGGCTGGAGTCATCTGAGAAGAGGAAACACCAGTCTATATGGCATTTTCTTAATTAGTGATTGATGGGGGAGGGCTCAGTATACTATGGGTGGGGCCAACCTAGGGCTGGCAGTCCTGGGTGCTTCTTTAAAAAAAAAAAAAAAGGCAGGCTAAGCAAACTTGTAAGCAGCACCCCTCTATGACCTTTACATCAGCTCCCACCTCTGGGCTCCTGCCCCGTCAGAGTTTTTACCTCGACTGCCTTCACTGATGGACTGTAATGTGAGTTGCTTTCGGTCATGGTGTTCCATCACAGCAATAGAAACCCCAAGTAAAGCACATAATCTTTCCCCATTTCCCCTCCCAAGACACATGGCAAAACTGATGTTTGTCAACTCTCACTAAATTAATGTTGAAGCCTCTTCTGTACTAATTGAGTCTTTTGTTATATTTATTATGAAACACTTTGAGGGAGAAAGAAATTAAAAATATTTTGAGCCATTAATAATATTTCCTTTTCTGAATAATAAAATGACCTGTGTTAAAATATTTTGACATATGTGGACCATCACCACAAACTCATATTAGCTTAATAATTTATAAATAATGCTTAGAAATATAAAGAGCTGGTTTTTTAGAGAAATATTTGCAATCAACATTAGAAGAAAACATGCCATTTTTTTAGAGAGTGAACTAGTGACCCAATTATATTCTCTCATTTTCTCCTAGTTAGATAGAAATGTGGTACTCACCCTTCCAGCTAAACATGAACCTGTGTTCTGTTCATAGTCTCTTGTGACCTCTCCCTCCTCATATCCCTTCTGATACATCTTTGTAAGTGCCACAACTGTCTTGCAGAAGTAAATTTCCATGTCAGCTCTTAATATGAGGAATCTCTGTGCTAGGACTTATGACCATGTTTCATCCATCTAGACCCTCCGTGAGGACTTCAGTGCATCCATTTCCTCTGCCTTGAAGACCCTCAGCCTCTTTCCCTTTCTGTCTGGCTGATTTCCCCTGTCCTTGAGGAAGCAATTTGAACACTTATTCCTCTTTCATAGTCTCTATTCTTCACTCAAAACACTCAAGGTTCAGAAGAGCTTGTGACTTTAGGGTTTTCTTAGAGACATCTGTGTTTACTTCTTTGCAGAGATCCACTCAAGAATCAGTGCACAGAACCTCAATATGAGAAAACATTAATGGGAAAGAAGAATAGCAAAGATACAGAAATAATATGATGGATGTCAATAATTCCTAAATAGCACAGTGCTTGCATCATGTCCGAAGGACAAAAGGAAGCTATGCATTATTTTTAGAATTCGCTTTCCGTGTTCTGAGACGATCTCTTCCTTTTTCCTAAGGGTTTTTTCCCCTCTTATACTCTACAGCAGTAAAGCATAAAGAAAACTCCAGAAAACCTCTGACCACAAGTTTTTACAAGAGCCCTGTAAAATCTTTCTATTTGTGTGTACTGGCTGGTTTTGTGTGTTAACTTGACCAAGCTACAGTCATAACAGAGGAAGGAGCGTCAGTTGAGGAAATGCCTCCATGAGATCCAGCTGTAAGGCATTTTCTCAACTATCAATGGGAGAGGGCCCAGCCCATGGCGTATGGTGCCATCCCTGGGTTTATGGTCCTAGGTTCTATAAGAAAGCAGGTTGAGCAAGCCATGGGAAACAAACCAGTAAACAGCAACCCTCCATGGCCTCTGCATCAGCTCATGCCTCCAAGACCCTTTCCTGATTGAGTTTCTGTTCTGACTTCCTTCAGCAATGGACTATGATTTGAAAGTGTAAGCCAAACAAACCTTTTCTCCTCTAATTTGCTGTTTGATCATGGTGTTTCATCGAATCAATAGAAACCCTAACTTGTTGCACAATTAATTAAAACCTAGAGGCAGATATTGTGGTTTAATACATAAACCTCAAAGTCAGAAAAGCAAAACAGCTAGCCACTGGCTCTTACCTCTACCTCAGTCTGAAATGGCAATCCTGCTTCCAGAAATCCAAGAATGAAACTGTGTCTGAGAGCTGTCTCTTCCCATCTTATATTCCTCTCTAGAGCTAGATTAAGGCTCTGCACCACTACCGCCCAATTTCTATGGCAAACTAGCATGGGTACTGGGATTAAAAGTGTGCATCACCACTGCCTGGTCTCTAAGGCTGACCAGTGGCACTGTTTTACTCTCTGATCTTCAGGCAAGTTTTACTTATTAAAATACAAATGAAATATTACTACAGTAACTAAGGCAATGTGGGTGTGGGCTTTTTTTTTGAGAATAGAGTATAGAAAAAAAGATGAGAAAATAAAGAGACTTTTATTTTCTCTGCCAATTTTTAGCATGCAAATGTCAGGAAGGACCTAAGGAAACATGGAAGGTTGCCTGGTACTTGCCTCTGTTTTTGGCTGTGTTCAAGGATGTGATGAGTCATG